ATTTTTATTAAAGGAAGAACCTTTTGTCACCAAATTTAAAGCTCTATATAACACATCAGCTTGCGGTGGAGGAGAAATTTGACCAGAGAGTAATTCTTTTGCATTAACCTTACGATGATAAAATTTTTCGTTAGCTTCTTTTCTTTCGACAACGATACTACCTTCAATTGACACACCAGCAAATAAACCTTTTGATTTACTATAAGAGAATATGGCAGCAGCATGACCAAGTGATACAGATCCAGCACCTTCAGCCGTACGACCGATAGGACCTGCTGCCACGGATAAATTCCCTCCTAATGTGACGTTACCACCCTTCGTAAATGTTTTTACCGCATCCTTACTATTCAACACTATAACGAAATCTGTCATTTCGGCACCTATTTGACCTCCAAATCCCATACCTCCTGTGCCTATTGCAGAAGGTGCGCTCCATGATCCATCTTCTAATTTTGATATGACCAAACCCGAACCCGCTCTACCTGAGACCAAAAAGCCTGCTTTGATGACCGTAAAGATCGCAAAACCTTTTGCATTTTGCAATACAGTTTGCGGAATAACTTTGTCAGGACCTTTTGCTTCAATAGGATCGATAAAACTGTTCAAGATTTTAGCTGCTTTTTTACATTCGGTTGCGAGATCTTTTGGTATGGGTGAATTGACCATAACTAAATAACGTTAAAAAGAAAGAAACACAAAAAATTGAAAAAAAAAAATTCCATGACATCAAAACTTTATCATATGTTCCATAACAAATATGCAACATAGACTATTTTTGCAATTGGCTGAAATTAAGTATAAAGGAGATTTCTTCTAGAAATGAATAGTATGGGCTTGCTTAACGTGACACCTGGCAAATGAGTATTTTTCTATCATCATTATTACTAAATTTAAATCTGATCATTCAAATTTCATTCCGGTTTTGAAATGTAGTTATTTTTAAAAATTAACCGACAAAAAAAATTCCCTTCCATAGCTTACAAATGTATGTGGGCATGCAGCACGATGATAAAAGTCGTGTGAAATTGAATGTTTTTTTTTAAAACAAAAAAAAAAAAGGGACCTAAAATAGTCCAAATGGATTATGGGTTATTTATTTTTTTTTTTCGTGAAACTGTAGAAGTTTTATTGATACATACATAAAATAGGGCACTAGTAACTATATAAAGAATTTGAATAAAAATTTGTTTGTTGAAATTTCCAATATATATTAAAAAAACAAAAAATTCATAAAAAAAAAAAAAAAAAAAAGTTATGCAGGAAATAAGTCGAACGTTATCATATTTGAATAATAATAATGACTCAACTATTAACATCCCTCCGTCAATTGACGTGAGTTCCAGACTACAAAAAAATAAATCTTCCAATAATTTAATCGCAAATTTTATTCCACGAGCAATTTTTTTATTTAGTGTTGCGTTTATATCATTATACATTATAATACTATTAGTACAAAGCATACCAAATTTATCTTTGCCTACATCCATAGAAGGTGTAAAACTCCAAGCTATGATATTAGAACATTATTCTGGTGAAACTTGGCAAGGTTATTTGCATATTGTCATAGTGTTTTCTTTAATTTACATTTGGAAGCAAGCCTTTTCCATTCCAGGAGCCATCTTCCTCGTAAATATCATGGACTTTTTTTTTCGCTTTTTGGTTTTTTCCTTTTTATCAATTTTTTTTTATTTATTTATTATCATTTATCATTTTTTTTTTTTTTAAAAAAAAAGAATATATTGGCAGGTGCTTTATACGGACCATTGCTAGCTACTTTGATGACTTCCTTATTGGCAGCCATAGGAGCTTCTTGCGCATACCTGATAAGTAAATTTCTTGGTCAGCCTATAATGGATCAATATTTATCCGATAAATTGAATTATCTAAGGAAGCAAGTCAATGATAATAGGGATGGTTTATTTTTTTATTTGTTATTCATAAGAATGTTTCCTCTATCTCCATGGTGGTAAGTAATTTTAAATTAGGTTCGTTTCATTTTTTATTTAAAAAATCAAGATACTAAACGGTTTGTCGTCATAAAACAGGCTGCTTAATTTGGCTTCGCCGTTATTATATATACCGCTCGGAACATTTTTTACATCAATGTTTTTTGGTTCCATATCATATAATTTGGCTTGTTGTCAAGCTGGTGAAATTTTATCGGAATTGTCTTCAACTAATGATATTTGGCAACCTTTACTTCTCTTTAAAATGATTTTGGTTTCTTTAATAAGTTTATTTCCTCCTTTATACACAAGAAGATATAAAAGATTACAAAACAATAGTAAACCCACAAACGATCCCTCTGCCGAATTCTTGATCAATAAAACCGAACAAGAAGTTGTTTAGTTTTTTTTTTCTTTTTTAAAAAAAAAAAATAATAATCCATTATATATATATTTGTAATTTGTATAATAAAATATTTTATTATTTTTTTTTTTTTTTTTTTTTTTTTTTTTTAGTATACTACCTTTTTAATATTTTTTATCCGCTTTTTCAGTTAATTACATAGTAATTTAGTTAAGAACAAAACGGAAATTAATTATTAAAACAGTACAGTAGTATTATAACGTTTATATGAAATGAAAATAAATAATTTATCAACGTGCTCATCAATTTTTTAATTTTGACTTATTACGATTCTTTTTTTTTTTTTAAAAAAAAAAAAGGTACTTTATGAATTTTAATATATCACAAGTTGATAAGCGATCTTTGACACGCTAACACGGGAATATCTTTTATTCAACGGAATCTTTAACCAAACTGTCCTTATAATTTAAATATATCCTAAAGTAAATTCGGAAAAGATCAAAGGTGATCGATATTTCAAAATGAATTTAAAAAGGAGAAAAAGATTGTAATTGAGTTACAAAAAGTATTTTTTTACGATGTGTTTGAAAAAAAAATGGAAATTTACCTTTCCACTATATAATTTTTTTTTTTTTTTTTTTTTTTTTTCTTTCCACTTTCCACTTTCCTTACAAGAAAATATTTGTAAGTGAACATTAACGTAGATATATCTCAAAATGCGATGGAATCCCTTCAATAAACCATCATGTTCTTCTTTCATCTTGGTTCTCTTATCATTACTTGCACAAATCATTGTCTCGCGAGCAGATGTAAATGTCACCAATCTAAATAATTCAACGAATGCTTCAATCTCGAACCCACAAACTCCCAATACAACATTAAGCACGCTGCCAACTGCGACGCAAACACCGATAAATTTTAAGTACGGTATAGCGAATTCATCAATTAAAGATTATAAATATCCGGCAACATTATCGGATGGAACTTTGGTATTCTTGGTGAATATTCCGAAAGTTTGCAGTGAACGATCAATCATCTTACAAATCTTATACGCCAACGGCACGACTAGTATATTTGACGGACTCCCTCAAGATCCTATTTTATTCTGCAATATTAGTTTTGCACAAACACTGAGAGTTTACCCGATCGATCGTAATTTGGTTATGGTCACGTACATTGTAGAAATCCAATCATCACTTCAACATCTGGGAATAATTATTAACGTGAAGAAAAAAGTCACCTTGCATAACGGAAAATTTTACGATTATCCACAGTATTCGACCATAACTAATGCTTCCTCATTAACACTTTTCAGTCCGAATATTGACCCTAAACGCGGATTTTTAATGGCGTATTTTGATTATGATGGTGCATATTTGGTATGGTGGAAGTGGAAAGATAATGACCTTAAGAAGGTTTACGAAAATCGAGTAGCTCTTCCGAATATAAATATTTCATTCGAGACACCAGGACAATCGACATCAAGTGTATTTCCAACAAAAACCGGTGGTTTTGGGATAGCTTATACAACTTGGAATGATCAAACTAGTAATGATACTTTATATGTAACGGGTCAAGTTTATTTAAAATTCTTGGGTGTCGACCACGAACTTAAAGGTCCTTTTTTAATTTATCAAACTTCTTTAAGGAAAAGATTGGGTTTGAATTCATGCAGTGTGTCGTATGATAAAGATGCCGGTTATCAATGTATATTGGAAATTGATGACCTCCCCGCGTTACATAGTTTGAAAATAGATTTTTGGACGACAGGATCGGTGATTAATGTGACAGAATTGGGTCAAGATAAAATAAATGGTGGACTTATAGTTCGCGGTCAACCTTTAATGACCGGAGGTTTTCTTATAACGATGATTTCTAGTGAAGGTGTAAATGGATACATAATTAATCAATCTGGTGATATCGTTGGTGATTGGGGTTTACCTCATGAAATTGGGCTTATTTCCGGAGTTTTCCCGAATAACACTGCGTGGGCTTTATCTAGTAACTCGAGTGATTCTTCTAATTTCGGTATCTTTTCGTCGAAATTGAAACCTCTTTACAATCGTAAGTTTAAAAACAATCGCGATTATCTTTTTCTCTTGTCTTCATCGTGGCTAACAATCTCTTTATCATTTCTTTTTCATTTACTTAAAATAAAGCGAGTGATTATGGCAATATCTTTATTAAGAGTACTTCCCCAAACATTGATGGAAGTGTGATGATTAACGGTGATTATGAACTTCTGTCCAAGATTACTATGGAATTCAACGAACCGATTAAAGTTTCCGACGAATCTCTTTCAATTTATCAAATTGCGAACGATACGTATTTGCTTCGTCAAAAAATTCAAGCGACAAATCCAAAATTAACATTGGATAAAAATAATCGAATTCTTTATTTGACAAATGCTATATATAGTAGTAGCTTTAATGTTCCCGGAGGAATTTATTGCATTGAAATGGAACATAATTTTGTTAGAACCCTTTCGGAAGATGAGCCTCTTCTTGGTATACTTAAAAATCAATGGAAGTTCACATTAGCAGATTTTGATAATCACAAATCATCAGGTAAATTAATATTTGAATCGTTGTCAATTCATTCATGAAATAATCAAATAAATCAAATGAATAAATAAAAAAAATAATTTATATATGGTTCCTTTTTAGGTTCTCGAGTAGGTATATTGAGATTAAGAGTAGATTTCTCATCGAAAGAAAAAAAAGGCGTGTTAAGTAAACAGAATAGAAAAGAATTTCTATATAATTTATTAAATGATATTTCATCCTATATCCCATGTGATGCAAACAGATTAAAAGTAATCGACTCAAATTTCATTGAGCTTCGCAATAAAGGTGAACAATTTGCATTTAAATTAAAAATTGGTAAGCCAATTTCTTCTAATGAGAAGGAACCAAGTTCCCAAAAGATTTTTTCGGATCTGCAAGAAATGATTCATAATTTAGACAATACCGGCCTTGCCCTTAGTGAATATGCCAAGTATTTGGATCAAAAATCCGGATTAGTTGAACAAGGTAAGTTAAATTAAAGATTTCTAAAATGGATTTTTTTATTTTTTTGGATGTGGTGTGTTTAATAAGAAAATAAAAAAATTTTTTAGGTAGTATTTGGGAAAGATATAAATATGTAATCATTATAAGCCTCATTGGATTGGCAATTTTGATCATCTTATACTTCGTTTCTGAACGAAAGTTCAATCAGGTAGAAAAAAAAAGTAATCGTACATTTTGAATTCTCTGGTTTACAAAATTATTTTTAAATTCGTTTCATATCATATACAGGGACGAAATATTTCAATCTTTAGATATACACTTATCCTTACGGATTTTATCTTGGATATATTGTTTGTTGTAAATAATGCTTCAGAAGTCCAGATTATCTTTATACCAAGGTTTGAAAATCATCTTAATCACCAAATATACAGCATAAACGTGAATTAATTTACTAGTCAATCTCTTTAAAATTTCACAGTATAATCTTCATTGTCATCCCTGCAACGGTAAACTTGACAATATCAGTCTTTATAAATATCTATGAAATCTCTCATAATAAAGCATTTCAAGATTGGATAAATAGATACGCCTCGGTAACTGTATGGATAACATTATTGGCAGTAGCCGATCTAAAAATTATGACATTGCTTACGTCAAGAATAGCAGGATTGGATTGCTTTAAAGCCCCATTCTCGAATAAAACTATCTCTTGGATTTTTTGGTTGAGTTTTGTTAATCTATTTTTAGAAGACATACCTCATTTCATTATACAGGTACAGTAATTAGACCATCATCATTATCCTCTTCATCAAAGCTAATTTTTCCTTTATTTAAAAAAAATTCTTTTAGGTTATATTTCTTAAGCATAGTATAGCTTATGATATTATCCCAACGCTTACATTAATAACAAGTGTGATCGTAATTCTAGCGGATAGCTTGTGGAGATTCTATTATTCTTTAATGCATTTACTTGGGTATTACCGAAATGAAGAACATTTTTGGAGAGCTACAGATTCGGATACGGAAGATTCGGAGGAACGTCATGCTACCGTTATTCAAACCGGACAAAGGATATAATTCAAAAGAAAAAGACATTCTACATTAAGACAATTTAAGAAAAAGACATTTCACGTTAATGATGTTTAATTATTTTTTCTATTTTATTGATTTTTTTTTAATTTTTCGCGTTTAAATTATAATAAAAATCAAATTTAAAGAGGTTGCTTAGGGTACCTATAATTGATATAATAATATTAAATCACTTTATGCGAAATGACATATCAAGATTTTTCTTTTTCGCACCATCAAATTTGTTAAGACTAGGAAACGGAAACCGTTGTAAAGTCCGGAGTTTTTTTATTTCATATAAATATGCGGATACAAAATCAACCAATCAAAAATCACGCGTGCGGACAGCCACCATCAAGTACACAAATGAGAAGATTGAAGAAATTCTTAAAATCTTCAACAATAAAATTTTTTTTTTATTCAAAGGTTTTTGTTTGGCCTTTACTATCTAATCAAGGTGTATACCTTAAATTACTGCATAAGAAGAAGCTTCCCAAAAAAAAAAAAGAATAAACAGTTTTTGATTGTCATAAACATCTCCATTGCATACCACAATATCTTGGCAACATTCTTGTGATTAAATTTTCATAAAAAACGAATTTTCTCTCTCTTAACATCTTAAAAACTTACTTTGAGTTATTTACAACAATATCATTTCATGGATGTTGAGAAGTTTCGATCACGATTGATAAAACATTTTGCAATTTTAGGCAACCAGTCCATCCAGCTTTATTTTCCTCAGCTTGATTTTCCTGTCCTGTAAAGAAATTGTCAAAGCAGGTAATGATGGACCAGTGATCTTGGAAGTTTTGCTTTAGAGGTCATTTAAACTGAGTAATTTTGGGATTAAAGGGCTACATTTTATATGTTGCCTATGGTAATATTTTTTTTTTTTAGAGAGATTTTTTTTTTTCAAGAAAAATTATACATAAATTTAATATTTATAAAGGAATAATATGGTACGCCCTAATTCTTAGTAAATTTATTAGTTTATAATGAATTTCTTAAAAAAAATTTATTTTTTCCTTTTTTTTGATTATATAATGATCTTGGTCATTGATTGATGTTGTTAAGCCTAAACACTACGTCGTTAGGATAACAAAGCTTATTTGCTAACAGGGAGTTTAAGTTGTAAACTAT